TAAACATACCGAAGTAAAAATAGAGGCTCTTGTAAGAGCTGTACCATACCATCCTCATTATCAGTGCCTGGTCATTGTGGGGATACAGTCAGGGAATAAACTAATCAGACTCGATCTGGGGCACCCTGTCCCTGATGTGATGGACACAAACATCCAGCGAATGCATTGTACTAAAGCTAGTTATATTAGATTACGGTTAGCATTTTACCGTTCACGCTATTTTCGACGGTCGGCGTGTACAGTTTTTTGTATGTGTAGACATGGCATTTTACAGTTCACGCGCTAGATCCAACGGTACTCGTACCCAACACCCAAAATACCGTCGGTTTGGTACCGTTTCGACGATAGAACTGTTTTAATACTAATAGGCTTAGCGCTAGCGGGAGAACGAAACGGTAAGATAGGGTTACGTCACGATCCGGATCACCTGATCGTTGCGTCAGGAGTCAGGAGGACTCAGAAGCCGAACGGACCGTATGCGTGTTAAAACAAAATGGCGTCACGATTTATTGAAAGTGGTATAGTTGGTGGTACGAGTGTTCAAACCCATTTGAACTTCATACTGTTCGTCTTCTTTTTGACATGCTCTCTTTCCATCGTCCTTGGCTTTTGTTTGTTGAGAGCTGTTTTGGCTTTCTCCTGTACCTCTGGGGGATGCCAAGTGATGGTTTTGAGAGGCTGGTGATGGCTGTGAGCGAGAGTTTGCCGATCGGCGTCGTCCTCGCTATAGCGATGAAAATACTAGTTACTGCGCACCTGGCAGATATCACAACACGTCGGAGCGTCCAGGAGCAAAGGAATCTTGGGTTTTCACTGGAATCTAGTTCCTCCAGCATCGTGTAGCCCACCGTCGGTGAATGGCGGTCCAGAAAGGTCGAACCTGGTCTTCTGCAGCATCTCGCAGTCCTGCGAGGCACACTGAATACGCCTGTCATGTATTCTACAAATAAAAATCACGAAGTAGTGGACTTTATAGTGATGAGTCTATCCTGTATGCTGCAAAAGACGCAGGAAATGTGACTGGTGTCCGTACACTGGACGCCAATATCATCCCAGTCTTCTCCTGCAGGATCTGTTTGACATTGACATACCGGTATGCAGTGGGTCGACATTGGCCTGGTTTGGCAGCTATCTGCCTGGGTGGATGTAGCAGGTTTGCATTGGCGCGTCGTCCAGTCCGACATTTTCTTGTAACTGTGGAGTACCGGCAGGGTTTGAGAGGTTGCTCGTGCTGTGAACACATCTCTACTGCCTGTCTCGTCCTGGAAGTGCCGTCTCGCCGCTTCCTTGCTCTACAGTCACGCCGTTATTTCGCTTTGTTTCGTGGTGCAGCTCAAAACCTGCCCAAACAACTGTGAGCTCGCAACATGGTATGGACAAATTGCACCACTCATGCTGGTTAACTAAAACCGGGATAGTCGAGTAAGCGAGTTCACTCCCTGGGCCATGGCAAGATCTGTTCAGCGCGGGCTATTCCAACCTCCAAGTGCATAGTCACCGATCGATCCATGCGATGGTGGTTGACCTACAAAGAGCAAAGGTCTACGAGTACTACTATTGGATGCTGTCTACATGCAGTCAACAAAATCAAAGTACCTCAGTATGCCCCAGAATAGGGCATGTGCATCTATAGCATGACACAACAGGGGTTCTGGCGGCACCTGTCAAACAAGCAGTAGCGACTAGTGCCAGCTACCTGGAGGCTAGCCGCTACAGTCTGTCACTGGAGATAATTATTATGTTCACTGTTTAGACTGAGCACAATCAATGATGCCCAATCAATCTGCCCAATGTGTGTTCTGTTCCACCTAATTATAACGTCCCATCGCATCAACCCTACTACACGCACATGTCGTCACTCTAGCATGACTTGTGTTATTATTGTTTATTTTGATTCGCACGATAAATAGAGCACAATAAACGTTAACTTGACCGAAGGATAAAGGCGACTGCAGATAGAGGAACACATCGAGGTACAGGTACCGGCATCAATACAGTATCAGAGAGAAACAAACAAAAATGAGAGGTACGCAGAAAAAACTCTCGTAAGCCCAGGGGGAAGTGGTTGATGAGGGATGAATGCACTCTCCACGCTCATCTACACTGTTCGTGGAAATGCACACATACATACAATAATATACAACATAGCAATAGCATGCACAGAATCGAACAATTTCATGTTCACACATGCAAGCACAGACCTGAACATTAGTACCAAAAGCCGATACAGACAATATCCCCATACACACAGACGCACACACACACACACAATGTCCCATGTATGCGCCCGTGGCGAGAAAAGCACGCAAATCTACAAATGCACTGGATGTGAACCCACAGATTTTCTCTTATAGCAACGATAGCGGGTCTGATTCTGAATGAAACACACACACACACACACACACACACACACACACACACACACACACACAGAGAATACAATCATTGAATGCCCATCCGCAGATGATGGCAGGTCCTGAAATATCAAGGCAGTGTTCCAGTAATGGGGAACAGAACTTCGAGTGGCGAGTGAGGTATACACACACACACACGTGCGTGCGCGGGCACACACTAAAGTATTCAGAAATAGAATCGAAATTGTAGTATTCATTGGTTGGAGAATGGAAAGGAAAATAAAACATTGCTGTAGGTTATTGTTGTAAGGACACTGGGAGCACAACAGAAAGGTAAGCAACTTGCTTTGAAGCAAAGAAAGTTATTATTCCACAGATCTCAGAAGGAAGGAACGTTCCAGAATGCTGCACTGGCAACAGGCGGCCTGCATGTGCGCGGCCCCTGCAGTCTTTCCAGCTGCCGGCCTTGCAGTGCTGAAAAGAATGTGCAGTACAGCATGTCACATAGTATCGCAGCCTGGACAAATAGGCGCTGGGAAGTCCTAGTTATGTGCTCACCTACACCACGATGCACCAATCTTCTGAGCTACTTTGCCAACAACTTTCTCCACTTGAGACTCCCATGGGCTGAGCCAGTTGTTGAGGGCTGTACCAAGGTGGACGGCAATGACCGCTGATGGCAAGGCAATCCATGACACACAGTCACTAGGGCCTCGTCAACATGGCGCTGAGGCTGGATCGATAAAATCAACCTTTAGGCTGCCGCGGGGTTGACAACAAGGCCGCTGTCTCGAAGCTAGTCAGTCAGTCTGGTCACCGCCATTGACAAACCAGTCGCCACCGCCAGCAGTGGCGGTAGGTTGTGACAAGTGTGGTGCAATATTGTCAGCAAATTCAGTACTTAGGATAAGATGAGTGACAAAGGGAACGTTGTGTTTGATAATAATTTTGAAGTGAACAGGGATGATCACAAACCCTGCGCGTACTCCATCGTGAGGTACAAGAAAATTCCGGACTAGACGACGAGCAAACGCCAACCTGCTACATCCAACCAGGCAGATACTATTTTAAGATAGCTGCCAAACCAGGTCAATGCCGACCTACTGCATAATGTCAATGTCAAACAGATCCTGCAGGAGAAGACTGGGGTGTTGGCGTCCAGTCACTGAGTGATCAGACACCAGTCACATTTCCTGTGTCTTTTGCAGCATACAGGCTGAGACTCATCACTGTAAAGTCCACTACTTCGTGAGTTTTGTTTGTACAATACATGGCAGGCGTACACGGTGTGCCTCGCAGGACTGCGAGGTGCTGCAGAAGACCAGGTTCGACCTTTCTGGACCGCCATTCACCGACGGTGGGCTACACGATGCTGGAGGAACTAGATTCCAGTGAAAACCCAAGATTCCTTTGCTCCTGGACGCTCCGACGTGTTGTGATATCTGCCAGGTGCGCAGTAACTAGTATTTTCATCGCTACAGCGAGGACGACGCCGATCGGCAAACTCTCGCTCACAGCCATCACCAGCCTCTCAAAACCATCACTTGGCATCCCCCAGAGGTACAGGAGAAAGCCAAAACAGCTCACAACAAACAAAAGCTAAGGACGATGGAAAGAGAGCATGTCAAAAAGAAGACGAACAGTATGAAGTTCAAATGGGTTTGAACACTCGTACCACCAACTATACCACTTTCAATAAATCGTGACGCCATTTTGTTTTAACATGAATTTCGCGGACTGCTAAGGCCCGTGTCTCGAAAACACATCAAAAACAGTAGACTCGCCCTCTACACGCCGACCGTCGAAAATAGCGTGAACGGTAAAATGCTAACCATGTCATACCGGTATATCGTTGTGAGCAGCGACGGTCATTCACCGGTACAGCTCAGGAAAAACACTAGGGCTCAAACGATTAGTCCGATTAACCGGTTGCAGACCGGTTACGAAGAATTAACGGTTAACCGATAAAGATAACGGTTGCGCAGTAACTTTTCAGTCAATTTTTCAAGTATCAGGTCGTTGCAAAGTGTGCACTTTCGCGGGCTGTCGCACGCGTACGCAATTTCTGGGCTGTCAACTCGGTCATATCTGGTCTCTTGGTGTGAGAGTATGTATGAATGAGCATGCAAGAGAATGTACACGTGTGCGTTGTACTGAATAGGGTACATTTTTTGAATGAGTATAGTCAAATATACGGTTAAAAAAGAGTCCGCAGGATTGCCGTGGCTTATAGGTTATAACCGGTTAACCGACCGTTAGCTTAGCAGTTAACCGTCAGGGGTAAAACCGTGACCGTTTGAGCCCTAAAAAACACCCTCCGACTCCGGCTCCCGAGTCCGAGTTTCGTGTGTGCGACATAAATCACTCTGACATCACATACCGGTACCGGTGTTATGTGACGAGTAATTTTTGCACTACACTCTGATCTGAGACTGAGACTGAGCAGGAGTGACAGGAGAAAATATTTTTGGTATCTTCTCTACCTAGCCTTGAACTACTACATGTAGTAATACCTGTCTTGCAATGCTGTAAATCGCAACAGTCGGAGTTCTACTTCTAGATTTCGCCAGGCTCATCGCCAGATTTGACGAATGCAACCGAAAAACTCGCACCCGTCATCATCCGTACAACGATAACGTTTCAATCAAAAACTTTCGTGGATCGCGGTCCCCTTCCCGAAGACGCGGCCCACATGTCGTAGATGAAGGAGGATTATTTGGAACGAGAGGGTGTGCAAGTGCGCGCCAGCGGAACGGAGGAACCGAATATTTAATCCTGATACTCGTTTGCCCCACAACACAAACGCCATTAGCACAATGGGCAAGGCATCTCTGCTCATCTGCTGTGCTCTTTTCATTCTGTTCGCGACATTGACGAGTGGAGAAGAAAACCACCCGCAACGTGCAGGCGATGAGGCTGCGCCATTGGAAAGTGCCCAGCCTGAGCCTGAAGTGGATCCTCCGCAGGGGGAGAAAGACGGCGAAGTGCCGGAGTCTCACGATCCCTTAGAACATGACAAGCACCCCGAGGAAACGGAACATGCGGAGGAAATGGAAAACGCCGAGCAACGGGTGCAGGAGGATCCGGACCACCCTCACGACCGAGAACACAACGAAGCGGGAGCCACCGGCAGGGCGAAAAAGCAGCGACGAGGCGAGATGGACGACGAACATACCATTCACTTTGCCGAGCTTGAGCCACGAATGCTGCAGAACAGGAGTCACCTTGTGCATGTGAGTATTCTTGTTGTTGAGTCCGAGGTCGGCACAGCACTATTCTGCAAACATTGCAAATGTTGGACTCGGATGGAGAGCCAAGGGTTAATTTATACAAAAAGAAAATGGTCCAAGGAACTACAAGCTACGCTATGATGTCCACTAACACCACCAGGTACTAAACAATCAGCTCATGCGATAACATTAGCCAGTTAGTTGTAGAACGTCAGTACCATCGGTCAGTGTCGTGCAATGTTATCGCATAAGCTGATTGTTTAGTAACTGGTGGTGTTAGTGGACATTATACATTATAGCATAACTTGTAGTTCCTTGGTCCATTTTCTTCAGTATAAAAATTGCAAATTTTAGGCGATAAAAAAACACGAAAATTGTGTGAACACTTGATCATAATTAGGGCTGAGTCGGGAAGCATTTTCTTCGGGTATCAGGTTCGGGTAGTTTTCCACGGGTAGCACGGGTACCCGATCGGGTAATGTTTCCATGGAAACACCCAAATGCACCCCTTCCCTTACACACTGGGTACACATGCGGAGTGTGACATAAATTTGTACACGTGCACTGTACATGATGACATCTGCGACTTCGGGTTTTCGGGTACTATTCTGTACCCGTCCACCCTAGAATCCTCACGGGTAGCATGGGTACCCGACTACCCGTTCACACCACTAATCATAATGGACTTTCTCAGATTAGCGCAGCATGAGTTGCTGGTCAATGAAATCCGATCGCGTGAGTCTAGTTTGCCAGGGGCGGATCCAGGAATTTCTCAGGGGGGGGGGGGGGGGGTTCAAATTTTTTCGAGTGCAAAGAATTAAATTCGCTTCAAACTGTTTTCGGTTCGTTCACTACACCGGGAGTTGCAAAATCGTTATTGTCACGGTAGCCCTTGCATTGCTTGCCAATAAGGCAAGGGTAATGCGTTTAGAGCCTTACAAAGTACAAAGCTGCAGCACAGGCAGAAAGTCTAAGGCCGTGACTGCAGCATTTTCCGAACTGACGGAAGGCGAAGTTCTCTGACTGTCCTCCGGCTGGGACTCCGTGTCGTCACATTCGCGCCGTACATGGCGGAACGAAGCCAAGCTCAATGGCAACTGATCGGCCGCTCGCCTCTTTGGCAGACGTTGCGACATGGCAAACTACACGACAAACACAAACATTATCTTCGTACTGCGACGGAGGAAACCTACAGTCCAGCCAGCGCGAAATAAAACAAAACGACAAGGAAGGTAAGGAGGACAAGTGGCAGTTTCTCCACCTTTAGCTCCACCGCGACATGGCAATCTACACGACAAACACAAACATTATCTTCGTACTGCGACGGAGGAAACCTACAGTCCAGCCAGCGCGAAATGAAACAAAACGACAAGGAAGGAGGACAAGTGGCAGTTTTTCCTCCTTTTGCTCCACCACTTGAACTGTCGATCGTTTCAAGTCACATGATACGCGTACAGACCCTTCGATTCGAACGGTACGCGTACAACAGTCCCGACCACTGCATGGATGCAGTGACCTACTGTAGTACCTGTACTGCCTGTACGTGACCTGGTGACTACTTGCAGTGAAGTCTACTGGCTACGCTGCATGTACGCTACACTTCGCTGACTGCGCACGTGGAGATCACCGAAAAATCGACTGGACCTATGGTCGAAATTATTTTAGGGGGTTCGTCCGAACCCCCTGAACCCCCCCTGTATCCGCCCCTGTTTGCGTGCTGCACCCATCCACCAGGACCTCCGAAACAGGTTTGTGTTTGCACAGTGCGCAGCGTAGCTTTGACTCGCTTGATTGGATGTCATTGAGCAGGAGTTTACATGCACAGCAGTGAAAGGAGCACTACAGGGGCATGGAAACCCGTGCGGCCAAAGACGCAACAGTGATTTGATCTGAAATTTGAAAAAAAACTGCGCGTTTGATATCTGCAGGGTGGTGGCGTTCCTACGGGGGCTAAAAACTCAGTCAGACTGTGTCTCGAGTGAACCGTGAGTTTTATCCAAAAACATTCCCGGGAAGGACTCCAGGACCTAGCACCCATTCAGGTCACACCAATGTTGAACACTTTCCGACGCTGCTGAACTTGTACCGTAGTGGCCAGTGAAATCCAAAAACATCATAGGAAACTCAGTCTAGCTGTCTCGAGTGAACGGTTAATATTTTTCCAAAACTTTTCTCGGGAAGGACCCCAGGACCTAGCACCAATATAGGTCTCTTTCCGATGCCCCTGAACTAACTTGTACCATACTGGCCGGTGAAATTCAACAACACCGTGGACAGAGAGTACACACTCTATGTTCTGTGCACTCACGCATGGCTGTAAGGCGTCGACAAAGGAACAGGCTAGAATTTCACCAGGAACAGATTACTCCAGCCGGTAACTTATGTACATGGTAGCTCGGATGCATAGTCGGCGGACAGCATGTTGTTTCATCCTTTGTAGAATCATCAGTACAACACAGAGGTAGTAGAGAGGTTGAGTATAACTTAATTACGCTAGTGAAAACCGAAGTTAACCTACGGAAAGTCTTATGTACACTTCATGCGGATATATGTTCCGCCATACGGAGTTTTCGAATCACGTAGATGCCCTTGGCAACTCGGAACCCCCCCCCCCCTGCCCCCAGGTTTTCGGCTGGGTCGACCTGGGGAGAGGGTCATCAGTTTGTGCCCCTATAAGTACTTGTACTTGCTGCTCACTGCCAAAATTGGTCACGTGGGTCTCCCATTAGGAGAGGGGAGAGAGACTCGAAAGGAATCTTGGAAAGATGATCCTGATCCCACTTATGGGCTCACCACACCTCAGTAAGTGGGTGGACGTAAGTATACCCACCAACCGAACTAGTTTGCACCCATATACGTAAGTGTACGGGTCACCTACGTTATCAGAGCCAGACAACTTTCCGTCCGTGGAGCGCAAACTCGCGAATTCACGGGGTTTCCCGCCCACTTACGTAAAAGCTGCTCAACTTGACTTAGTGCGGAACCTCTCTGATGAGGGCAAACCAGGTTATTATAGATTTCTACACAAATATGAGCACTCTCATGTGGGGTAGTGCCTTTGCTGTTTGTGCTATGCAGAGCTCACTGACTTGTCAGTTTGAGCACTCTGGCAAGGTGCGTTCATGCCTGGTTTAAATCTGGCTTTCGAAAAATTATTTTCCATTGCTATCAGGTCCGGCCTCATTTTCTCTGTGCTGTGCTGATGAGTTCACAAATGACGAAACAGTTCTGTCCGCAGATTGAGTAGATTTCTACATAGAAAAAATAGGCACGGCTAGGACTGGGAGTCTGAGCTTCCAGTTCTTCGCCATCAGACAGTATAGTATTCATACTGTAGAATGGCCTCTTTTTAGTTGGCGATGGGCAAACTGTGTGTGTGTGTGTGTGTGTGCGCGTGCGTGTGTGTGTGTGTGTGTGTGTGTGTGTGCGTGTGCATGTTCCTGCATGAATGCGGGAGCACGCGCATATTTTGTCTGTGTGATATCTTTCGTCCAGGACGTTGATGACAATCCGCATGGCTTTGATCCAGTGGAGGGAATCAACTTGCCACATCTAACATTTGAGTATGTACAGTCATCATGTACATGTATGTGAACTCCATCTAACGGTACTGCCCTAGAGAAATATGAACGGGAAGGTCTGACAGAAGCTGTACAGTGGCTCGCTGGGATGACTAATTCACAGTTGCGCAGTGATATGAAAGGGAGAATTCTGGGTAAAATTGATGGTCACAATCAAATAAAATTGATTGTGGCCACTAGGATTCGAACCAAGGCCCCTCGCTCAACACCACCAGGACTCGAACCAGGGTACCTTGCTTAAAAATGGCCTTAGTTCGAGTCCTCGTGCTCACAACACAATCGATTTTATCCATAATTCTCACATTCAATACAAGGAGCTCTGGTTCGAGTTCTGGTGGTCACGATCGATTTTTACCCATAACTCCTATTTCATATCCCTCCAACCTATGGATATCGAATATAACTGGTCCGATTTTTGAAAGCAAAAATCAATCGTTGGTTTATATGCCCCGCGGTACAAGTGATCCAATAGCCGGGTTCATTTGAAGCCGGAGATCCATGCGGGCAGGCATGTACTGTATTTCCACTGACTGTGAGCCGTACTCGATTATACATAGCAACCACATTTTCTGGTCTCTGCCATATTATTGTTATTATTCAGTTCAGTTAGCTGACATGCTTGATTGTAATTCATACTCCTTTTTTGGCGTTGAAGATCAGTGTACAGAAGTGCGACATAATATGTCGCACTATATTATTTGTGTAAATGCGGTACGCATGAGACCGCAATACAAACAGAAAAGCAGGATGCACTACCGATTAGGCTATCGGCAATCACAAATAACCAATGGGCTCTGCCGCCGGACCGTTCGTACATCCCCCCAAACGTAGTCTTGCTTTGTCCAGTCTGGCTTATTGTCAATGCACCCCACAATTTTATAGTATTGTATAGAGAGGTTATGTGAATGATGTCATGATGATGATGTCATGGTGATGTCATGATGATGATGTTATGGTGATGTCATGGTGATGTCATGGTGGTGAGTCAGCGCAACTGCCTATGGGCGCTACGCATGCAGCAATAGTTGCTTTGTGAATTGCTGGGCTGTCACTTTGCAATACCATCTGAACTGATGATGCGTATGTATTATTGACCAAGTACAAGGGAAATAATGTACGATATCTGCTTGAGAGATTAATGGCCCTCTGAGGAAGGTCGGTGATTGGCTGTAGACGAGGCAGCCGACACGTGGCTTTTAGTGTAATTGTACAACCTCTGCACACTGCTATGTTGTGGTTTGAGATTGTTCCCTATTTACTGCATTAAACTGCATTACTTCAATTACACTGCAAGTATGATTCCAGTACACTGCAAGTATGATTACAGTACATTGCAAGTGTGATTACAGTACACTGCAAGTATGATTACAGTACATTGCAAGTATGATTACAGTACATTGCCGAGTATAGCTACATATAGTTGTTCAGGTTACTGAATGCAAAGCCACGCTGTTGTTCTTGCTCTCAGGGACTTGTTCCACGCCATCGACAAGGACACAGACGGCAAGATCGACACGGACGAGCTCTCCGCCTGGCTCAAGCACATCACGGCCATCAGCGAGGCTCACAGTGCAGCCGAGCAGTGGAACATCGTCGAGAAGGCCAGCCAGAAACTCATGTCCTGGGATGAATTCGAGGCCATATTCGGCAAGCATCTCTACGAGTCGGATCCGCGTCCCAAGGACCAAGTGGACCATGATAGACAGCGTAAGCATGACGATGATTAATCTTTTAGTATGTTGTTACGCAGAACAATTTAGGTAAAACCTAGAGAGGTCATTGAGGTGTTGTCTGATGTCATAAATGTGTGTGTGTGTGTGTGTGTGCGTGCGCGTGTGTGTGTGTGTGCAGTTGGCCACGTCTCTCGGACTCACTCCATTAGGTGTATAATATAGTGTTTGTGATATCGAACTCCATGTCGTATCCTCTTACCACGGTGGCCGTCTGTTCTCTCTTTCTCTCTTTTTATCCATCTTTCCCCAATCCTCGTCTCTTGCCCCCTCCCTATGTCCTCCCCCCCCCCCCTTGCACCTCTGCCCATTTCTCCCTATCTCTCTCTATGTCTATCTCTCCCCCCCCCCCCCTCTCTCTGCGTATTTTCCTACATCTATGATCACTACAGAGCTGGAGGCACACATACGCATGATAGAGCGTCGCTGGCAGCACTGCGATCGTAATCACGACGGCATGATGAGCTTCGGCGAGTTCATCGACTTCCAGCATCCCCAGAACAAGCCCTATCTCAGTTCACTGCACTTCGAGGTAAGGCATAGCATCAGGCAGTGGTGGCGCAGTTCCACAGGCACGTAGCACCGCCGTTGGAGGTGATCCGGTGGGGGGGGGGGGGGGGGGCTGGGGGTGTCCCCCGTGAAAATGTTGAAATTATGGTGCAAAATCCTGCATTCTGGGGACTTTTGGCATTGTGTTAAAAGAAGGTGGTCCGGCCAAAGCCGGACCGGCTGCTACGCCTGTGTGGAAATTACACTTTTCTCATCGCACAGGGGTAAGCTGTAACTATTGTGGTTTCCAAATAGAAAAACCCATTGTAGCCTAGGAGTAAGTAAGTTTCGTTCAGTGTAGTTCATCTGTGAGCCCTCGCTCAGCTCACTGCACTGTGAGGTAGGGAGAGCAGCGGACAGAGGTGACATGATGGAAGTGATACTTTTTGAATCCCATAACCCCCCCCCCCCCATAATAAGTGCTGAGCTATGGTTATCAGTTGAGGGACAACTGTAGCGAACACGCGACGATCAGCATGAATGTTAACAACCCTTCACTTGCACCCAGGAACAACTTTTTGCTGCTGGCGGTTGCTGTTCAAAACACGTAAAAGGATGTTTTCGCTAATGGTTACTCCAGGACCTGCAATACTCTGGTGCCAGCGTTGCACTGCCTGTCTCACTACTGTTGATTTTTAATAGAGATGCTGTTCACCTACGGCGGAAATCCAATATCTGCCGACGTCGTAAATGGATATGACCAGTCACACAGCCTCTACCCCTCCCCCCCCCCCCATACACACACCAAACACAGTTGCACATACCGACCTAGGGTATTAACCCTTTAAGAGCCGCCCCATACTTGAATGCGTCGTAAACGATGCATTCAAATGCAAAACTTCAAAAGATCGTAACTCAGTCCAATCTCGCTCAAATCCAGTGATCTAAATATCCAGGGCGAAGAGAAAACTCTCACCTGTCGGGAGAAACAATCCGCGAAGCGCTGCGAGCAACGGTTCCTGAGATAAATCACTCGTAAGTTGAGCCGCGATCGCGGCAATTTCAAAAGCGCGCAGTGCGACTTTAGTATTGAGAATTTTGAGACTTTTCGTCACGCTGGTTTACTCGAATTTGCACGGGTTTCACTGTTGATATTGTCAAGAGTACACAGCGAAAAAATTGGAACTCCACGATCGAGTAAAATGAAATATCTGGAGCGGGACGCAATTGGACGCATTTGGGGCATTTTTCGTACTCTCGCTGCGATCTAGCGCTGGATAGACGGTGTGCTGGCTATCATGATTGACCTCATTCTCTTCCTCTCGCGGAGACCTTTCCAGGAAGCCCTAGATTGTGAGAATTGAGTGAGTAGAACTGAAGCTATGATCCAAGGAACACGAAAAAATGCAGAAATTTCAAATTTTCCTGTGGCTCTTAAAGGGTTAAACACCCATGATCGGAAGTGATGGCAGCGATGCTGCAGCAGGAGCCACGTCAACTTTTTCTGGGACTGCACCGCTAAACAGCCAGCAAGAATTAACCGCCAATCAGTCTGGGCTATACCACACACCAGTTCAAGTCATTCTCTTGCCACCATCACCACCACCACCAGCATCACCACCAGCACCATCACCACCATCACCACCACCACCATCACCACCACCACGATCACCACCAGCACCACCACGATCACCACCAGCACCAGCACCAGCATCACCACCAGCACCAGCATCACCACCAGCACCAGCATCACCACCAGCACCAGCACCAGCATCACCACCAGCACCAGCACCACCACAAACTCAAACGCGTACACACAAGCATACGCATGCTCGCTCACTTGTATAATGAAACTCTGTCAATGCTCTACGCCTACGGTATCGTGCATAGCCAGGAATAATACTGTTCTGATTTGTTGTGTGTGCTTCCCCGCAGGAGATCTTGGAGGAAATAGATATCGATAAGGACGGTCAAGCTTCTCTCAACGAATTCCTAAGTAAGCGTCCATCTGCACTGGTGGCAAAATAACAATTCCGGTTGCTTCAGTAGTGGAGATCTACAGCTCTGGCCAGAGAAATCCAACCTCATGAATAAAGTAGCGCCGTGTTAGAGTGCACAGACCAGTATGTGTAGTGCTAGGGCTGCGCAGCACCCGGCAATGCTATTTTACTCCTGAGGTTGGATTTCTTTGGCCAGAAATGTACATTGACTGGATCGACTAGTGGTGATTGGTATTGTCGTCCTCTCTATCGCGGTTCTAAAGATGTGGTCATTTGTTTAGCAACTCTGCCTATTACTCTGACAATATCAGGGCTGTGACTTGTTCCGATTGTTCGGAAATGCTCTGATTTTCACATATCGTCACGACAAACCGACCGCAATTCTGCTTCACTATGTTACTTGGATTGCTCACCAAAGTACCCTGATCTGATGTTTCGGACCATTGAAATCCCCAAAAAATCTTTGGCCTCTCAATGGGGAGCTGTCCCCTTTTATACCCCCCCCCCCCACACAAACACACCCACCCACACACCACCACCACCACCACCACCACCCAGGTGCTGGTGAGGCTATGGTCCTGGCTTGGTTGTGAGCAGCCAGCACTGCTAGCTGCTGGGCGGGTGTGAGCTGGGCCTGTGCTCTCTGCAGTGCCGTGCATACACGTGGCGTCACCGCGACAAGAGTGCACAGTAAAAAAGACGACTGCATCTTCTCCATCACTGATCCTGAACTCTCCTCGTCGTTTTACCTCTCGGCTATACATGTGCAGGCAGGCATAGTGGCATAGTAGGATGGTCTAAGACCATGATTGAGAAGCAGAGGGTACCAGGTTCAAGTCCTGCTTAGAAGTGGAAGGAATTTTTCCAGCCGTGCTGCGACCCACAGTTAATTGGGAACTCGTGGCCTGGCACGAGAGTAACATGGAGGTCCGATGAACCCTGCCACCCTCTACCTTTGTTCTTGCTAACCATAACTTTTTCTATTTAATTGCTGTCATTACATTGTTATGTCCACGGCTCCCTTTTGTAAAATCAGCAGAATTCTAACTTTTGAAAGGATTGGGAGAACTTCAAATTCAAAGGATCAGCTGGGGAAGTGAACTGCCTGAAAATAAAAAAAACTTGTCAGCACCTTCTAGGTTCAGCCTCGTCCCATAGCTCAGTGGTTAGAGCATTGCTCATGACAAGCAAGCTCAGTGGTTAGAGCATTGCTCATGACAAGCAAGGCCCCGGATTCGAGTCCTGGTGGGTCTGGCGTTTTTTTCTCTTTTCAGGCAGTTCACTTCCCCGACTGATCCTTTACATTCTAACTTTCCCGTTCTTTTTTTTGCAGTCAATGGTCATCCTCCCGATAGTCCGCTTGTTGAATTCCTGAAAGACAACAACTTTGACACGTCGCATTTTGACCAGAACTTAGTTCTCTTCCCCAATGGCAGTCGTGTCAGTGAGGAGCTGTTTTCTGAGATCAAGATCTTTGCCAATGAGTTCGACAAGAATGGAGACTGGTTCTTGAATCGGGTACGTTGATTGTGGGTTCTGTGCTTGATGGCGCGCGCGCGTGTGTGTGTGTGTGTGTGTGTGTGTGTGTGTGTGCGTGTGTGTGTTTGCATGTGTGCATATGTTGGCATCTGTGTGTGTGTGTGTGTCCGCGTGTTTCCTTGTGTGTGAGTCTGTACATGTGAGTATATTTGGAGGGGCACGTGATTCTGTTCATGTATGTCGGGGAGGGTATTTCTGTGCGTTATGCTAGTCAAGGAAATGGATTCACAATTATGCCGTGAGTTCATCTAACGTGTGAAAAACATTCCTATTGTTAGTAGAATTCCATTCAAATTTCACATGTGCTACCATTCAAAGTGGTTACATTTTCCCTTTTCCCGTTGTTGATCCGCCCAAGTATGGAATTTCCTCGCTTTATCGGAATGTGCGTGTGTATTCTCTCTGCCTTTTTTCTTTCTCACTCCCTCCGACCGTTCGTCTGAGCCTCCTTCCCTCCATCTATCCATCCACCATCCATCTATTGATATCTTTACCTTTCCCTTTTGCTCTCTCTCTCTCTCTCTCTCTCTCTTACTTTCTTTCTCTCTGGCTCTCTCCCTCTCTGTCTCTCTTTCTGTCTGTCTGTTTGTCTGTCTGTCTGTCTGTCTGTCTGTCTGTCTGTCTGTCTGTCTGTCTGTCTGTCTGTCTCTCTCTCTGTCTCACATTCCCTTACCTAGGATGAAGCACGTGTATGGATTGTTCCAGAGCACATTGTGATTCCCTGGGAGGCAGAAGCGCAAGACCTGTTGCGGAAGCTGACCCCTTTGCGTGCCCGGGTAAGGTTAATTTGACGACTTTGCAAGCCAATGTTAACCCCTTTGCAAGCCAGTGGGTGTGTTCGGTTACTGCCATGGATCGATTCATGAATGGAATCTCGTCATTCGAGTTCATGTCATGAGGCCTGGATTCGGTTCGGAATCCATTCACCCCTTTCACAGGGGGCGGTGTGAATAGCAAGGGGCGATTCATGACTGGATTTTAACATCGATTCACGGATATAATCTAGCGCACTCACTTTGACCCCTTTGCATGCCCGGGTACGGGCACTTAGACCCCTTTGCATGCCCGGGTAAGGCCACTTTGACCCCTTTGCATGCCCGGGTACGGGCACTTAGACCCCTCTTCATGCCCGGATAAGGTTACATGTATGCCCAGGTACGGTTACATAGACCCCTCGACATGCCCGGGTGAGGTCACTTTGATCCCCCTGCATGCCCGGGTAAGACAAAGCTACATTGACCCCTCTGCATGCCCGCATCAGTACACCTTGCTTGGAACGAACAAGAATAGGCTGCCGAAGTGCCCACGTCACGCTGCCTGAAAACTCCTACTTACACATAGTTACAAGCCCAAGTGGTGACAAACAATAGTCGCGTCACCTGCGCTTGTCGTGTTTCCATCGGTCACGGCATCACTTTGACTGGGGCGCGCTGGTGCAAGATTGTGAGTCCGAATTTTGTTTTTCTTCAAGAAGTTTCTCCTTCGCTCTCCAGCGATCATTGCCAGCAATCGCATGTCACCACGTACATTGAAAATCAACATAATTTTGCGAATCGACCTTTTTTTCATGATCACTTTTCAACGAGGACGAAGCAAAGTCGGCCGAACGAAGCCTAGAGGAAGAAAATCACCCTCTCCATTTCACCATCACGATACTGACATAGATACGAGATGAAACAACTAAAAAATCCACAAGAAAACTGTACGGCCATCATCGCGCTGACTTTGGTCTGAGAATTTCTATCACGATCAAAAATGTATGAGGAGCACTCAAAAATAAGCCACAGACGTACCTTTATCGCTCTCTACTCCTTTTTCAAGGCACAAAAGTCGACTCTCCACTTTCAAACCAGGAACCAGACATACCAGTGGTCCTTTTCAGCTGCTCCACGAGCGCAGGAAAGGTTCACCAAGGGGCGCAGAGCAGCATCCATTCCAGAAAAAGAGCTAAAATACGAGTGAGACTGCATGCCTGAGTACATGAGTACATGTATGAGTACATGCAGAAAATAGTCAATTTCAGCGTTTCTGCTCCAAACAGCAACTAGCTTCGACTAGAAACAAAGATTACACCAAAGGATCAAACAACAACCATTTTCTGCAGTTTTTTTGCAGATGGCTTCCTTGTGCTTGGCCCAGCACGCCAAAAATCACACCTCGGAGGAGTACAAAAATTACAACTCTCAGATGTCCTCGATTGCTGGCCATGTCGTGCAGTGTTTTCCTGCTGAGTGTTCACCAGCACCTGAGAGCTAGGAGTTCTGATTTTCGCTTGCCGCTGAACAAGGAAACGATCCCAGAGTTGGTTGGTGTCAGAACTAAAAGAAATAAGGAATCTCTGCGATGGCGATAGAAATAGCAGAGACACCCATCATTGCTTCTTGGCCGGCGACTACATGTAAAGCCGGACGACAGTACAGGCACAATAGTGGCGAAGCAAAAAATCAGCTGCGGATTCTCCTTCTCTATATATATAAAGCAAAAACTACAGTAGCAGTATATTTGAAATAAATAAACACGCTCCTCAGGCAAAATGATGCTGTAGTTGTGTTCACTGCATGTTGCTGGCACTGGAAACACGAAAAGTGCAGGTGACACGACTTTTGTTTGTCACCACTTGGCCAAGTAACTGCGAGTGGTCAAGAAGCTGTGACGTCAGACTTCAACGGCCTATCCGAGTTATCCCATGCGTGGGGTGTGTTCAGCCAATTAGCGGCCGTTCTGACCGGGGTCTATAGAGGGATATACCCCGCTGGGTTCCAAAATATACCACTCTCGGTTCACTCGGTTCAAAAATATACCACGCTCGGCTCAAAAGTATACCGCGCTCGGCGCACACGGGTCGCACCATGAGTAAATAT